CCGCAGGGCGTCCCACCTGCCACTGGGATGAACTGTGCTTTAGCCTAGACATCCAGAACCCTTCACAGCGTGACTCAACCCTGTCCACCCTTCCAGCCTTGTCCCCCGCAGCCTCCCTCCAAGGAACCCTTCTAGACCAAACTTCTCAGGTACCTTGTACTGCCTTTAAATGTTCTCACTCATCTTCTGCCCTCCTTTCCTTTCATCCCTTCTGTAACGTTTTCCCTTGCCATGGGAGTCAGAAACACTGTCTGTGGGGATGACTGGGTCTGTTAGCATTTCCGTGTCTGTGTCTATTAGTCTTGTCTCTTCATTCCTCAGGTAGGATATGGAGAAGGACAAGGGCCATACCTCTTTCACTTTCTTCACTCACTCTCACTCCCTGCAAGGCCAGTGTGGAACTTGCCACCATAGTGGGAACTCCGCTCTTTAGCTGCGTGTAATCTCCCAATTGAGTGCATTTTATATTCAGGTTGGAGTTTGCATGTTTGGGTAAATGAAAGCTGTGTCTTATTTGGTTTAACCCTTTAAAAATAAAGTTCCCTGAATATTTGATGCTTTTCTTCTAAAATGATTTTGCAGAGTTCTTACCTGAGCGTACTTTTTATAATTAATAGGAAATTATTTTAAAGGATGCCTAGTATTATGCTGTACTTAAAAGAAATAGCACCCAGAGGCACAGATGTAAATTTTGTAACTGGAAATGGGTAGCACAAATAAGTGAAAAGCACAATTAATTAAATACTCATCTCACTGTTGTCCAAGTCTGGTTCAAGACAAAAGCACAGTTCTTTGATCTGCCGTTCTCAGTTGGATTTTATATATCACTTAATGTTGAACACAAGAATAAACAATAATACTGTATTGGGAGTTGTCTACATTATCCAATTACTCTTTGTGATTTAGCTCCAGCATTTTAAGGAGTTGTCCATTATTTCCTTGTATCTGTTGAGTTGTATATAACGTTGCTCAAAATAATTAAGTGGGCTTCCATAATAAGTAAAGATTTTCATTGTAACAGGATGCTTTAACTTACATTAAAGGAATGTATATACTCAACTGCAGGGCATGGCTCTTCTCACTGAGGGTACTGGAGTTCTGGTGGCCCGAAGGACTGTCCTGTGGAGCTGGGTGATGTTCGTGGGCTCAGTGGCAGGCTCACCAGCTAAACTTCATAGTGCCTTAGTGTCTGTCAGATTTAGAACATCATCCGATTCTCTACTTCGAAATTATTCTTGAGTTTGAACATCCGTAATGTCAAGAGGTCGGAGTTGGTTTCAGTAGCAAACCATGCCATTGTCTCAGAAGCTTTTCCTGTCTAAACTTAGTTCCTCTCCAGCTGCTTGCACTGCCTTATCTCCAAGTTGGATTAGGACATGCCCTTGTTTGAAGAGTACTAATGAGCAGTAAGAGGCTAGAAATTAAATGGAAGAGGAAAAAGTCACTGGGGCTTGGGTATTTCAGAGTAAACCATGGATATCGGAAGCAGAGCAGTAGGAAGGGCATGGCAAGTACAGTCCGACTGCCTCAATTTATAAACGACAACATGCATTCACTTAGTGCGTAGGTAACTGTCAGAGACAGAGTTCCAGCCGGGAATAATTTCTAACACCCAAGTATCTTTCTGTTGGTGGAGAGGGGACAGGCAATAAAGCATGAGCATAATTGCGATAAGTATTAGCATTCGAAAGAAAGGTAAAAGCTGATCAGTGATCTTTGTTATCACAGAGCTAATTAGGGTAGAGCCTAAAAGAACCAAGGCTGCTGGACTCACCGAACTCGACAGGAATGATTGCAGAACTTACAAAACACTTCTACTTTGATGAGCTTTTTATTTCTGCTTTTAGAAAAGATCTGTTTGTTTGGGTTTTATTTTATTTTTTTCCATGTTGACAATTTAAAGAAGAAAGGTAAAAGAGAATTTGTCCTTTCATGGATGCAATTTCTTTGGAAAATGAACTTAGTGACACATTGGCCCCTGGTGTTACCTGTACAGCATGAAAAAGATCAAATCAGAGATGTTACCACTGTGACATAATTCGAGAGTACACTTAAAATTTTTATTTTGCTACAACCTTATTGTATGTTGTTTTAAAGTTTTGGTTTTTTTTTAATCTGTGGTGCTGAAATTATTTTGTAATACAATCACTTTAAAAATAATTTTCAGAGCTAGCAGGTAGCATGGTAGTTAGGGCACTGGACTCCAACATGGCCAACCGCAGTTCGAGTCCCAGATCATTATGCCAGGCGCATGTGCATGGATGCCCAGAAATCGTGAAAGGAGAATACTGAAAGAGATTGTGGCATGGCATCCCCCCTGGGGGGGACTTCTTACTTTTTCTTTCTCTCTGAGCACAAGTATCCTATGGCAAAAAAAAAAATAAATAACAATTCGTATTAAGGGGCCAACCACGCTGCCTGGTGGTTAAGGGAGCTGGATCCCACGTGGCCGTCTGTGGTTGGAATCCCAGCCCCTATGGCTTGAACTCTAGGCTAGTGGGTATGCTCTTTCTTCCTTCTTTCTCTCTTGACTGTCTCTCACAAGCACATGCATTCTCTGACAATAAAAAAAACTATAAAAACTTTTAAGACAGATGTTTTATCTTAAAAGATTATGTATTAATCTCAAGAAACTCCATAAACTCTAAGGAGGTAAAATCTGAAGATCTACTAAGCCGCAGTGGCTTCCAGCTGCCACTGGGATGAACTGTGCTTTAGCCTAGACATCCAGAACCCTTCACAGCGTGACTCAACCCTGTCCACCCTTCCAGCCTTGTCCCCCGCAGCCTCCCTCCAAGGAACCCTTCTAGACCAAACTTCTCAGGTACCTTGTACTGCCTTTAAATGTTC